TAAGAACATTAGGAACGTACATGTACCCACAGTCAGAAATTCGTACTGGCTTAGAGTTGAGACGGGTATCTGGAAGCGTATCGATGAAAAGAACTTCGTGTGATAATAAATGGTCTTAGCATCGGATGGGAGATGGCCAACCTGTGAAAATGGAATGTGAAAGTATATGGTGTATGATCAGAACAAAATAATGTGCGACATGGTCAACGAAATAATTGATACAGCAACAATAACAACGCGGAATTCAACGCCAACACTACACCTTCTAACGTTACATCTAACCTGTCAACGAAAATAATGTGCCTACCATATCACGATGAAAACTAATGAAAAATAAGGCACATTGTAGTATGTAACGATGCAAAGATGTGTGGTTGTTGTTGTTGACTTCACATTAAACCGTATGCCAGTTGCTAAATGCCAAAATCTAGCNACCCAACTACACCACCACGCGCATGCCTCGCGGCGGATATGCGCAGCAGCAAGAAGGTTTCGGTCATCCCTTGAGGGTGAGTCTAGCCCTGCTCGCCAGAAAGACCCCCCCCTTCACTACAACCCATGTCTGAGCAAAAGCTTGTCGAGGAGCGAGGGGAAGGGAGAAGTGTGGGCAACCGCATGTTTGACCATCGAAACCGCAAGGGGAAACACTGAAAATGAAACATGTCCCTTGCAAGCAGAGTGAGAAACTTATGACCGACTTCCTCGCCAAAATTCCCATGCATCCAGGTGACACTGGCAAATACTGGAAATGCCGAAATGCCGCCAAATAAATGACGCCGAACCAGAATTCTACCCTTCAAAGAGTCAGCCAAGTATGCACTTCAAAGAGTCAGCCAAGTATGCACATGAAGGAGCACACACGCAGCCATTCGTCTGAGCTACTCCCCCACCTCTCCTGGTTTTGTTTTCGGAGCTAGCCGGCAATTCGGATCCAGCCGTTGTGCGATACGTAATCATCTCCGTTAGGATTTGAGGAGGACGGATTCTAAAGTTGTAGAGAAGCGCCTGTTCGCTCCTTCCTACTGCTGCTTGCGACTGACGACTTGGACCCTCCCAAACTCCGACAGGTACGAACAAACTCCTTCGTGTGTGGTCGAAGATGGACTGCGTCTTTGTACAAGCCCAACATGCCACCATGCACAACATATGCTGCTGCCGTTCACCTGTTGCCGCCCTTCCACGCCTACCTGTCCATGACGCATCTGCCACTTGATGCGACAACATCTGGGAACAACACGGACACAGGGAGTACTCCCCCTACCCATACACAACACCGTCAAAACTGCTTGTAAGCTATAATAGAACAACCTCTCATTCCTCTCTTCCCACATCGCTCTTTGCCTTTTTGTCTTTTTCTCTCTTTTTCTCATTTTCTCTCTTTTTGTCTTTTGCTCTCTCTTTCTGTGCGAGATGGCCTTGTCTCTGATTGCGTTGTGATGTACAAAGATTGAACCAAGGGGTATACGTCATTCTCTCTGGCCCGTGATGGTGACCCTAGTCTCAGTTGTTACCTCGTACAAGCGCGCAAAGGGAATGGAGGACTCCAGAATATCTGACGTTGAATTCTTTTGACTTGCGGACCCCTCGGGGCAATTATATGTTGAGTGTATGTACCTTTTAAGGGTATGTCAACCTGCGACGACGGGAATCGACCGCGTCGAATGTTGGATCAGTACGGACATACAAAGGTACCGGGTAGAGAGAGATCGGAACGGTTTTAACGTGAAGACAACAACAACAACACAACAACAACAACAACAACAACAACAACAACAACAACAACAACAACAACAACAACAACAACAATAATAACATACAAATGATGTAGATGCATGAAATGATACACTCTGTCTTTACTTATGGCCCGCGCTGCCTAAAAATATATGGGAAAGGTAGCTATACCTTCTGCCGACACACGGGCGAGAGAGGCGATCATACCCACCGCATTTAACACACATCCACATGTCAGTGATGACACCCCAACCACACGCCTCTATCGGCGGCCACGTCAGGAGGCAACGATGAGATAATGTTCTCCCGTGCCCTCCTCACATTGAACGACATGCCATTACACATAGGACGAAAACACACACACGAACAACGTAAATATGTTCTCCCGCGCCGCCATGCCCCCATACATCACAAACAAAAAATAAGTTGATGACGAAACTATACACAACCCGAAACGCGCTTGCTCCGCAACCACATAAGGGTGCTATTATAATAGAACACCCGACAAACTGAGTTCCCCTAAATCGTCCGTCTACAACTTCCCAACATAACATACAGATTGATACACAAGATGGCTACCAAACTGCCTTGTTGAGCCTGTTACCCACAGGGGAGTTATCGTTGTATGCTGTCTGGGAAACCGTAGACATACAGGTAGCCTTTCGCTCACGCTATGGATTCATTGCTAATCTATCTAAAACGTATTTCTACAGATAGAGATGGATTTGTTGTGTGATATTAAGAAAAAAACAAAAATGATAGAAAAGAAAAGGTATCGCACCGTTCGAGAAAAGAGCCCTCGGAAACCGATCAAAATAAAACAAAAACAAAAATAAAGGAGGACGCTTCCCACACCCGCCCAAAGAAAAAATCAAAGGGGAACGTACTAGCACCAGGCTCTACGCACCAGGGCATGGGGGGAGTAACGGAGCAAACAGGACGAAGAGGCGGCAGATGGGCAGACAGCTAGACGTACAAAAACAAAGGCAGCAGCAAAAGCGAGATCAAGGTACCCAACACAGCAGAGTAGGAAGGGAGGACATGAAAAAAGGAAGCACAGCACAGAGGCCGAAGGCAATACAAAGGACATACATACATAAAGGAGAATAGCATACAGCAGGGAGGGAAACAGGGCGCAACAACATCAGCCGGGTACATAGTTCGCCACAAACACTGCCCCGGCCGCCCTACTCGATTCTACAGCAGCAGTGCCCGGTCGCCGTTTCTTCCCCCCCACCGCCGCTTCCCCGGCTCTCTTTCTCTTCGGTCATGAGATGGCCGTACTCTCTGCTTCTGCTTCCCTCGCGCGCTGGCGCTTCGCGGACGCTTCCGCCTCCTGCCTGTGCCATTTCCTCATGAGCCATGCCGCCCCATCCTCGACCTTGTCGTACCACACCTACCTCCGGGTCCTTGGCGCTCTGTTTCCATTTCCCTCCTTCCTTTTCGTCTCCCATGTTGAAGGCCACGAGGTCCTCTCCTAGACGAGACACCCAGTCGCTCTCCTGCCCGCCCCGGTATCCC